GTGCACTATTGCTAGCAACAATTGCAATGCAGTTTGTGTCTCTGGCTTGCACAGCAAATCAGCAGAAGGTGAGATGCTGCCATCTTGTGGGGATCTGATACTAATGCAGGTGCCGTGTTGTGTTTCTACAAATTAGTGATACCACAGACGGTACTTTATTTTCTCCCTGTGCAAACTGAACAGGGCCGGATCTAGCTTTTTTGCCGCCTCAAGCAGCGGGAAAAAAAACCCCCACCACGATTGCGCTGCCACCGAAGTGCGGCCGCCCCCTTCTATTGCCTGCCCCAGGACCTCCTTCCTTCGCTAGTGCCTGGAGCCGGCCCTGAAACTGAACCCTACTGTTTTTTCTAGAGTAGAATGCATTTCTGGGAAGGGGCTGTGAGTAGGCCACCTGGTCCCACGAAGGGAATAGGGCTGGGAGAGAGCCACATGGGTCTGGAGAAGAAAGTGGCTGGTGGGCTGGAGGGAGGTTTCTGCGTAGGGGTGAGTCCAGCAGTCTGAGTTGATCTGAGACCTATTAACCTAACTGTTAATAACTGTATAGCAAAGGAGGGAAAAATATACAGACTAGACTTTGCATCCATCGTTCAAGTGCAGAGGACTACTTCCCTTTTCTGCTGAGACTGAGGGCTTTGGAGTGAACCTATTTTCCAAAGTTTATACAGTAAATCTTTAGTAACATATGTATTTATATACAATGTGTGCTCTCTGGTCCCACGGCTCTGACTGCAGGATCGGGCCCTATTGTTGTATTTTACTGCAGTGTCACGAAGATCCTTAATGGATCTCAAAACGAAACTCTTCAGAACTGACAAACACTCTAGCTGCCTCCAGTGCTTCATTTTCTGCCCTTAATAATAACAAGGAAAAACCTTGTGTTTGGTGAGAGTTGGGCTCTAGTTAATTGTTTCTAGCTGGTGTTTATATAAACAGTGACATATCTAAATAAACAGCTTCAGAGGGCACTTCACATCCAAAGGAGATGAGGGATTGTGGTTGGCAGTTTATTCAGGGGCTATATTATGTTCTTTCCATTGGCCTGGCTTCCTGCCACTACTTTGTGGCTTTTTTGGGAATTGCAGTAAATGAGGGTTCTCTTATTTCACTGAAGATCCACAGGATTCCCTCTGCTAGCTCAGCTCTGCTCCTCTAAGCAAAATGTCTTGCTTACCATGTTGGATTTCCACACTGACAACTCGTGCGCTGCCAAAACCCATTGCACTGCCAGCATGTGCTTGGGAAATGTTTATTGTTGAACCAGTGGAGGGATGGACTATGGAACAACCTTCCAAAGGGTCCAGTCCTGTCTCTTTGTTGACAATGGCAAAGCTACCCTCTGTTTGAATGAGAATGGGTAACAAAACGGTGTAGTGTGAAGGCATTTGAGAGGACGATGGAGCAAGGTTGGGGGAAAGGAAAAAAAGTAGAGGGGGAATGTAGCTGGATTTCTATCCACCCTGTATCCTGTAACTGGACAGTGACACAATCTCCAGTTCATCTGGAGGTTTATGACCTCATGCTACAGTGCTGTGATGAAAAGATACAATCAGGTGGTTGTCACGACATAGTATGTTCTAGACAACTGCAAAGTGTTGGCAGCTTTATCCTGACTAGTCAGTGGTTCCCAGACTTTTTGCCCCAAGACTCCTTTGGCAACTGACTATAAGTCGTGGACCCCTTTCATTCCCAGTACTAATGGAATGTACCCACTGGAACATTTGATGGCATCCTCCATGCAGCCAGAGTTCCAGAATACTGTTCTGGCATGTTCTGGCTCTGGCTCAAGGGATGGACCCTCCAGATAACCCATGGCAAACAGCCAGGGGTCTGGAAACCCCACACTGGGAACCACCACTTGAGTTTATAGACAACAAGAATGCTGTGCTGGGCTATGGCATAAACTTCTCTCAATCCTTATGTTCCTATCACAGAGTGACTTGGCCAAACACTTAATTTGTCTTAAGAGAAGTGGGAAGCTGTAACTTTACTGTGATTGTAGTAAATCCCATATTCCTACACAGAAGGTAATTTGTGGTGCAGATATGAATTACATTATACGATACAGAACTGGCTAGAGTGTATGTGCATCACCTGCTGCCCTCTACTGGAGAGAATTAGAAATAGCTGTATAGCATAGGCCCTGCATTGCTAAAGGCTAAGGCTACGTTTTAGTAATGGATATTTTTAGTAAAAGTCATGGACAGGTCACGGGCAGTAAACAAAAATTCATGGCCTGTGACTTGTCCATGACTTTCACTGATTTATATACCCCAACTAAAACTTGAGGGGGGGGGCATGGGTGCTTGGGTCGGGGGTGGTCTGGGGGGCACTGTGGGTGCTGGGGTGGTGGCCCAGGACCCCTGCTGGTGTTGGGAGGGGGGAGCATGCTACAGCGTGTGGCCGGGACCCCCATTGGTGCTGTGGGGGGTGCGTTGCTGGTGCTTGGAGGGGGGAGATTGGCGGGGCTTGCAGGCTCCCTACTGGGCTCTGCATGTCCCCGTAGTTCCAGGCAGGGGGGCTCCAATTGCTGTTCCCACCACAAGCGCTGGCTCCACAGGCGCAGTACCTATTGGCCAGGAACTGCAGCCAACGGGAGCTGCGGGGGCGGGGCCTGCACGTGCAGGCTGCACGCAGAGCCCCCTAGACCCTCCTCTGCCTATGTCAGTGGGAGCTGGGGAGTCCCCCACCCCAAGGTAAGTGCCCCCCGCACCTCCCACCCCCCTGCCCCTAGCCCTGAGCCCCCTCCCACACATCTAAATAGCTGCTGCTGGCCCAGGGGCTGCCCGAGCCAGCACCGGCTGCTGCAAAAGTCACGGAGGTCATGGAAAGTCACGGAATCCATGACTTCTGTGACCTCCGTGACAGACACATAGCCTTACTAAAGGCACAGAGAAATTCCTGTTTTGCTCATGTGCTAAGGTTCTATGCTTTTGACACAGGAAGCCCTGAGTTCTGGTGCTGTGAAGTTCTGAGTCACCACCGTGTGTAGTGAAGTGTCAGCAGTTAAGTCCATGTGGTTCTCTGTGCAGACCCTCTAGGACCCAAAAGGAGGTCTCTGTAGTCATGGTTACCCCACGTCCCAATTTCCTTAACAAAGAGAGGCAACATCTGCTGTGGAAGGGTTCAGGAGTTTTATGATCAAACTACATAATCACTCTGGCTAAGATAAGGCTGATCACACCTTACACATTCTTAATTATTTGTATTGCAGTAGCACATAGAGGCTGTGAATGGGGAGAAAGGGATCTTGTAAATGGGATGAGGTGACTGGCTGCTCTATTTTGTTCATTAAAACAGAAAAGCAGCTAGTCATTAGTAAGGACAGGACAGTCCATAACGATTCTTTCCCAGATCCCCTGATGTTTGCAAGCTGAAGCGGCAAGTTTGGTAAGATTATTAGGGTAAATGTGCTGAATTTTCTAAAACCAGGATAGTAAAACCTGTTTATGGTTTTACTGGTGTTTATGATTAGGGCTGCTACCTATTTTGGCCTGGTCTACATTAGAAAATTTTCTCTCAAACTACAGCCATTAACAGAAACGCATTTTGCCAACCCCAAGCATTCAAAATCATGAATCAAGCACAAAATAATAATGAAATTGGCTTAAAAATCATGAGATTAAAAAAACGAACCAAATGTTGAGTCCTTTTATAGACTGTGTGGTGCTGAGAATTTAGGGTGCACCCAATGTGAAATGAAAGCTGGAATTCTCAAGTGATCATCTGATTCCAGCAGCTGGTGCTTTAAGACAAACACCAAATGTTGCAAGGTAAGTGCTAAAACTACAAGAATGGGCAATAATGGAACGCCGCAGTCCTGCCTCCTCGTCCCCTGCATTCTTGAATTTATTAGCCAATATGCAATGTACAGTATATGCAATATATACATGCCTAGACCTAAAGTGCTCCCAGAGCCAGAAGTAGAGATCAAGTGTCTTGACGTCCAACTGCCTGCTCCTGTAACTATCTCTCAGTCCCTTCCCAGAGCTGGGAGCAGACTCCAGGAGTCTTGGCACCCATCCTCTGCTCTAACCACTGGATCATCCTTTCCCCGTTGAGGTCCTCACACCAGCATCCCTCAGTGCGGAAAGGGCCAAGCTCTCTTCAGAGTGGCCTTGATGGATGCAGGATGGTGACATGGGAAAGAGGACACGTGATGATGCCTCCTGGACCCACATGGGTTGTGGGTTTAGGCTCACCTTGAGGAAATGAACACAAGCCTGGATATGCCAGGCTGGGCAGCAGTTTGCCTGCACCTGGTGGCTAAACACAGGGCACAGTCTCGGCCACAGCCTGCCATAGAACACCACAGGAGCCAAAACCCCATGCAGCAGGCTCAGTCTATTGCATGCACTAGAGAACGACATGTCCTAGAAGCCCCTGCAACATCCACAACCCTATAAAGGGGCTGCTGAATGAGCAGACTCTGTGGGACTGAAAGCGGCCATGCTGTTTGAGGGGGTAGGGTGTGCCTGCCGATGTGCAGAGGAAGGACAAGAAGTGGGTTATCTTCCACCATCCGCTTTACCAGGGAGTCAGCCAGGGCTCTGCCTCATGGCTCACTGCTGGAGGGGTGCAGGGCACCCAAGAGAGGCTGGGTTGTCTCCCTGCACCAGGGTGGTTGAGTTTCTTCAAGATAATGAGATTGAGCCTTCTGCTGGCCCTCCTTGGGCCAAGCCAGTGTGATAGGAATACACAGCACCAGCACTGCCAAGCCAAAGGGTTCTGAGTCAGGCCACTCAAAATGAGATTTAAAAAATAATAAATATGGGTTCTTTTTTTTCTCCCTTCTGGTTCCTCAGCCATTAGAATACATTCGGATCACGTTTTTTTCTCTCCAACAAGCAGATATTTTTGTTAATTTTTTGAGTCATGTCCCTGTCTCTCTTTTGCCAGCAGATGGCAACAAACACAAGTTTATTGGAACTTATTGTGTATGGAATTTAAAAAGGAAAGTCCCTCCCATCTCTAAATATTCTATAGAGCGCTATAAAGATGATATTAAGAGCAAACTCTCTATGGAGACTTTACATTTGGATGAAGGAGATTCTATAGAGTCACCCAATTAAGGTACAGAATATTTTTCTCTTTCATTTTGAAGTGTGTTCTGCAGTCTTTCTTTCTTGTTTTCTATCTATTGATGATCTCAGTTACAGAAACTGGTCCATTTAATCTCGTTTCCTTCTAGATTAGCCTGGCAGTGGCTAGAACCCAGATGCTTCAGGTGCTGTAATAGGTGCAAATAATTGAGTTATGGAGTAATTTGTGTACAAGGAAGTTCAAAACTTCATAAGTTTCTGCCTAGCTGATGGCTGGGTTATGCCTAGGTTCATGACAGTTTACATCCCTTATCCTTTTTTATGCACTTATGGATGTTTTCTGTCATGTTAAATATGTAATTCTGAGTGTTTCTTAGGTAATACATTCTATACCTTTTCTCTGAATAACATTTTGTTTCTACAGCATGTCAGGAAGTATGTAGGGGGAGTCAGCATCCTGCACCCCCCTCTTCCTGCGATTCACCCATGACTCTCAGCCAGCCAGTAAAACCGAAGGTTTATTAGACGACAGGAACACAGTCCCAAGCAGAGCTTGCAGGTACAACCAGGACCCCTCAGCCAGATGCCTCTGGGGGGCAGGGAGCTTAGACCCCAACCCTGGGGGGTTTAGGGTGACCAGCTGCCAAAGATGAAATATCAGGACGCTGGGGAGCGGAGCAAAAAAAAAGAAAGCCGCCAGAGTGCCCTCCCCACCCCGCCGCAACAGTCTGCAATCAGAGATGCAGCGCTCAGCAGCTCCTCTGCCCTAAAAGCCAGCCTCCCTCCCGGCACGGGCTTGTCCCTCCTCCGCACACAAAGTCTGGTTCAGGAGGCAAAGTCCTGGGGGGTGGGGCCGGGAAGGCCGCCGGAGCAGGGGGCAGTGAGAACCCACCCGGGAGCCCCACAAAGCAGGCACAGACCCCCCTCCCCCTTCCCCACCCTGTAGCTGCCATAAGCTCCAGTGAACAAACTGGAGCGCTCCCTGTTTGGTGTGTGTGGGACTGCCGAGCCAACCTGCTTCCTTCTTCCCCCACTGCCTCCACTCCACTCGGGTTACAGCGCCCGCACCCCGGACCTCCCACAGCCACCGGGCCAAGAGAGAGGCGCGGACTTGGAGCAACTGCCCAACCCTCCTCCCTCAATCCCTCCTCCGCTGGCCTCCAATCGCAGCTGCTGCACTGCACCACCTTCTTAATCTTCATGGCGGCTGTGCCACACACGCTGGTGTCCGGCCTCCCTCCAGCACTTGCGCCGCCGCCATACAGCTGATCAGCGCGCAAGCGGTGTGTGTGGGGAAGAGGCAGAGCCAGGGCGGGGATTTGGGGAGCTATCCAATGGGGGAAGGAGGGAGCGGAGTCGGGGCGGTGGGGGGGTGCGAGCCGGAGCGGAGGGCAAAAATTGCTTCTTTGTCCAGTGTCCCGATCAAACATCAATCGGGACGCGGGACAAACAAGTAAATATCGGGACTGTCCGATAAAATTGGGACATCTGATCCCCCTAGGGGGGTTCCCTCCGTTTTCCCAGCCAGCTTCAAACTGAAACTCCCCTGCAGCCATCTCCTTCCACCTTTCCCCCAGCTCCTCCTCCAGCCTTTGTCCAGTTTCCAGGGCAAAGGTGTCACCTGGCCCCATCCCCCTCCCGGCTCAGCTTACAGGCTCAGGTATCTTCCCTCAAGTAAAGTCACCCCCTGCCAGGGGTGAAAGTGACTTAAAGGACTTACTGGTACTCCAGAGTCCTGTGGAGGGGGCGGGGCCTCAACTCGAAGAGGCGTGGCCTCTACTGGAAGAGGTGGGGCCTTTAAATCCCGGAGCTTTTAAATCAGGATTTAAAGGGCTCGGGGATCCAGCTGAAGCTAGGAGCCCCGGGCCCTTTAAATCACCCCCAGAGCTACCAGCTGCAGAGGCGGCTGGGAGCCCTGGGGTTTGGGCAGGGATGAAAGTAATTTACATTTCTTACCCATATGGTCCAATCGCAAGCAAGCAACCCACCTCTCCTACGTACTTCATGGATCCCTCCCATTGCATGACATAGATATAGAAAATAAAGCTGCTACTACTACTAAAAATACTGTCTGTACTAAAACTTTAATATTGGAATAAGCCTGAAAAAGTGAAAACTCACTGTCACATTTTTCTTCATGTCTTCCCTCCTCCTCCAGCCAGGCTACGGACGCTAGGCCATGCTTTCCCCCTGCCTGCAGGGACTCCCCTCTAGCTTGCAGCAGGGAGACTGGCTGAGGGAGGGAGAAGCCTGCCCCCTGCATAAGAAGAGTTTAAACTCAGCTGTTCCCTGCGCGGTTCAGCCCCCGGGGTTAGGAGCTGTTTCTGGCATCCTTGTTAATTTAATTCACAGTTGTTGCGGGGGAGAAAGGTGTGTGTGACCATGGCAGGGGCAGTTCTTTTCTGCCCCCTGGATGAGGGGATCTCCAATACTACTATAATACAATAGTAGGGGCCGGTTGCTGGGGTCGGGGGCAGTCAGCAGCAGGCTGCAGCTGCATTGTTTGTGACACACACATAGATACTGTATGTATGACTGTCCTGTGGGGAAGGTGCCAGTGCCCTTTTAAGCTATATGCATCCGATGAAGTGGGCTGTAGTCCACGAAAGCTTATGCTCTAATAAATTTGTTAGTCTCTAAGGTGCCACAAGTACTCCTGTTCTTCTTTTTGCGGATACAGACTAACACGGCTGCTACTCTGAAACCTTTTAAGGGGTGTGTGTGTGGGGGGGGGGAAGACAAGTGTTTCTGGGCTAACACACCTCAGGAACTTCTGCTTAATGTGTGCTGCTTAATAGAGTCCATCCTTCCTCAGGGGGCTGTTTGTTGGTCCAACTCCTACACTGAAGAGCTATCTTTTTTGAGAGATCCATCCATACTGTACATATACATTTAGAATATACCTGGATCAGAGTAGATTTAGATCTGTGAAGCAAGACAAGACAATTTTGTTTTCCCAGGAAGACATTCATGTGGATGTTCCAAAGTTAGCTTTTGAGTGCCATACGGTACCCCCACATGGGAATCGCGCGGGCTTGCTATTTACAACTGCCTCAAACAAAGCCGATCAAAGCACACGTGAAGAAAGGTCTTCCAATTATAAGAACTTAATTTACAATTTGTCAGTTTTGAATCCCGAAAAATGGCAAGAGAATCCAGAGAATCCCCATTTAGTAGAAAAGGAAATAAGACCATTGGCTGATCAACTGAGAATCAATCGAGAGGAAACACACTTGGGATTTGTTGAATTCAAGGCTTTTGGAGGAAAAAACATTCCTGGTAAACTTAAACTCGTCCTTGCAGCGGATACCCTTGCTGCAAGCAATGCTGGCTGCAAAAGGGGATTCAGTGCAATGAACATCATTACAGTGAAACGGACTGCACTTAGCACTCGTCATGGGACCTCCTTATACGCAGTGGAATCCCATGCCATATGTGAAATTGTGGCTTGGAAAGGGCCGACGTGCAGCACATTCATCTCGAGGCATGGCACGCCAACAGGGAGAGCAGCGAGAGCAGCTGTATGGCCCAATGTGGGAGTTGCTATAAGGATGCTTTGCTCCATCCAGTCCTTCCCATGGATGCCCCTTTCTTGCCCCTGCTGGGCTGGCCCACTCACACCTTCCACGTGCCAGGACTGAGCTGGAGACTGGGGAGGCTTTGCTGTGGGTAGTGGTTCCCATTGGAGCTGCAGCCCCCACCTGCCACCCCCTATTGCTTGTGTTGTTGCTGCTGCATGCCCCCCAGACCTCCGTCTCCTCCCCTGTCTCCCGGGTGGCTCCCTCCCACAGCCTGGAAGAGAGAACAGCAGCTGCTGAGGCTGGAAGTTTTCCTGGGGACACCATTAAGTAGCAACCCAAAAGCTGGGCGCCCACAGATGTGCTGGCAGTGCCCCGCCAGACCTTGCCTCTTACAGAAGTTCCTGAGGTGTGAGCAGCAGAAATACTGTCTCCCCTGTCCCCCAACCCCTCAAAAGGGCACCGGCACCTTCCCCACGGGATAGTAATACATACAGTATGTTTGTGTATGAATGTGTCACAAACAATGCAGCTGCAGCCTGCCGCCGACCCGCAGCGACCCCAGCAACCGGCCCCTGTGGGCTGCTGCTGCCTTCAGAGAGCCAGCGGGTGTTGCTGGGCTGGGTCTGCCAAGGAGTAAGTAACCAAGGCAAAAACCATAGCCAGCCAGGGAGGGAGCCAGGGGGGCAAAGGACTGCGTTGCACCATGCCCACCAGTGCCCCGCTTTCCCTAGATCCTTCCTATTTCCTAGCAAGTCAGATATCAAGGATTTTTTAATCTCCCTTCCAGGCAAATAAAAGAGGGCAGGGGCACACCAGTGGGTGGCTAGTAGTACGGGAAGGCAGGGGTGAATGAAGGACAACTGGAATAGCCTTCATGAAATATACAAGATATTTAGAGAAAGTTTTGTCAATTTCAGCCTCTGCACTCTGCAGGCAGGACAAAACAAAAAGAGATCTGAGATTGTGCCCTATGTCCTAAGGATGTTTCAGGTGTTTAAATCAATATATAAAGAGGGTGGAATGAAAACTACTATTTCTTTCAAAGGAGGCACAATAACTTCCCTGAATATCCAGTTTTTCCCTCCAGTCCCTTTGTGGTTTTGTCTATGGGGGCTATTTGCTTTCCTTGTGAATCTTTAGTTGCTTTAGCAAAATTGCTTTGCCCAAAATAAACCCTGATCATCATGACACATCTTCCCACCATGTTCTCCATGTTTTTTGTGTGTGTGTGTTTTTTTTAAACAGTAACATTTCAAAGAGGATCTGCAAGCAGTTTGGACATCACAACCATGATCCTCTGCTGGGGCGGGAATGGGATAGATTTGAACTTGGAAATGGTTCCTGATTTTGATTGTATTTTTTGTGTATAGGAGAGCCCCTCATCCCGGGGGCAGAAAAGAACTGCCCCTGCCATGGTCACACACACAGTTCCGCCCCCCCCCCCAACAACTGGGAGTGAAATTAACAAGGATGACAGAAACGGTTCCTAACCCCGGGGGCTGAACTGCCCAGGGAACAGCTGAGTTTAACTATTCTTATGCAGGGGGCAGCAGCAGGCATCTCTCAGCCAGTCTCCCTGCTCACTGCAGGCTAGAGCCTAGAGGAGAGCCCCTGCTGAGTGGGAGGTGGGGGAGGAATGCAGAGCCTTACTGTCTGCAGCCTGGCTGGAGGAGGAGGGAGGAGACGAGAAACCAATGTCACAGTGAGTTTTCCCCTTCCACCTGCTTTTATTAGCTGTGGATTTAAGCTGTGCAGCCAAATGCCTATTGTATTTGTTGTGTACATTAGTATTGGAGAGATCTCCTCATCCCGGGGGCAGAAAAGAACTGCCCCTGCCATGGTCCCACACACAGTTCCGCCCCCCCCCCCAACAACTGGGAGTGAAATTAACAAGGATGACAGAAACGGTTCCTAACCCCGGGGGCTGAACTGCCCAGGGAACAGCTGAGTTTAACTATTCTTATGCAGGGGG